ATATATATATATATATATATATATATATATATATATATATATATATAAATATATATATATATATATATATATATATATACATATAATTTCGCAGTACATCCCAAATGTGCCTAGCATTCAAATTGGCACACTTTCTCACCACTTTCGCAAGTATAATGCACTGCCGCGGGACATTGTTACTTATAATGAAACTATAAAAGTTGAAAAATCATTACAATATGTACTACAATACTCCATTACAGCTTGGAAATAAATGGAAATATAATATAAAACAAGAAAAATGAAGAGCATGGGTGGAGAAGTGAATGTGTGTGGAGGTATTTATAGCCAAGACCTTGGCTAATAACTACATGGCCAACTCGCCAGCCTCGTAAATTGGAGGAATTTTATTTTTATTATTATTTCATTTTAGTTCCAGTTAGTTGAATCTGCCAGTGGGGAATGGAAGTGGTTTTGGCCGGTACCAAAAGACCCTTTAACATGTAAACTTTGCTCATTACTTTAGTGATTTTCACTTTCGTGGTACTTTATAGTTTCATTACATCTAACAATGGCAATATGCCATCTTCACGGATATTATTGCTTTTCAATTTGCTTTGCGAATATCGAGTATGGATGATAATGAAGATGATGAATACCTAATTCTATATAATGGTTTCACTTTCAGTTTTCATAGTCCACAGACAAACTAGATAGCCATTCACATGTATTTTCCAAAATCAATACACTGGTGCATCAACTAATAACAACAACTCATCTGAGAAGGGTTCATTCACTCAAACACTTCTCATAAAATTACAATAATATTCTACAAACAAATTCAGTGATTCATTAGAACCAATTTTGTACATATGATCCCCACCATAACACGTTAAAATATTTTAATCATAACAATGTTCTGACCAGGGTAAAACTTTGCAAGGTCTAAAATGGCCCTAGAAGTACTTCCAGTCACGGATGACAAGTGCACGAATGTAATCAATAACTGTTGCAGTTCTACTTGAATTGGGATACAAAACTACCACAATATTACCATTACCTTTACCCCTACATTTGTTATACAAATTGTTCAGTGCTCTGAGCTGATAGGTCCAGTATTCTCCAGGCAGCACGAGCATCAAGTTCTGTCTGATCACGGCACAACACCCACACATACTGCACTCTCAGCACTTTACTTGGGTCACCTTCTACAACCTGTCAAAGGAGCACATTAGCTATTAATATTAATACAGTAGAACCTCGATAAATAGGACTAATTAGGGCAGACCCCAGTCCGGAAAATGTGAGTCCACAAAAAGTGGATATATGGGGTGGGGGTTGGGGATAAAACTGCTTATCTGAACCGTTTAAAGGAAATCAGTTGTTATGTTATTACTGCACTTCAACAACTAAGGTCTTTAAGTGTATAACACCATTATTAAACCACTACAGTAGACCCTTGACATTCGTGAGGGATTGATATATATATATATATATATATATATATATATATATATATATATATATATATATATATATACACAGTGGGGTATGCTATAACGAACGGATCCTACTACGAATATTCCTATAACGAACGGTTTTACCTGTAAAATTGAGATTGCTATAACGAACGAAACTCCTACAACGAACATTACCGTATATCACGGCCTATAAGGCGGCGGGGTGCATAAGACGCCCCCCCCAAATTTCCATTTAAAAAGTAGCTTTTGAGCTCTATTTGCTGTATAAGACCAGTACCCCAAATGTGACACTTACCCACTGACTCAGTAGTCCTTTACCAACCATCCTTGATTTTTTAAAATAAGGCCAATTCACTTCAAGTAATGTCATCAAATTATACCCGCTGGTGTAGTGTAAACACTAGTGACGTCACTGAAGCGTGTTGGGAGTGTTCCCTCGTCTCGGTGGTGTGACTATTTATACAACATGTGGTTCAACAGCAACCACCGTATTCTAATTGTGGTGTTTCATTAGGATTTGAGTGAAAAAGGTTACCAGTATGTACTTACTACATACATTTATTACACAAATATATATATATATATATATATATATATATATATATATATATATATATATATATATATATATATATATATATATATATATATATATATATATATATATATATATATATATATACTGAATATACTATGTACAAAAATGAATGTTCAATGAATTATTTATGGTGCATTAGGGTACTGGTCACTTCTGATGGGCTATAAATAGCCTTCTTTATCTCCCCTACATCTCACCCTGAGCCAGACGGAAGGGTCTTGGTAAATAACATGTTTGCTTATTTTCCATTTACTTTAAATAGATTTACCGAATTATTTGTTTTATTTATTTATTTATAATATACTGTAATATATTAAACACACTGTAATTATTTTCTTTAATTTATAAACTGTTTTGCGACAAAGGAATGTTCTCCAGTAGTTTCTCATTAGGATTTGAGTGAAAAAATATTACGTACTTACACAATTGTTCCTCTTACTTTGACAACACAACATACATACAGTATATTATTTCTCAGTTTTGATCTTTTTTTTTAATTTTTGTATTTATTTATAGTTAGTTACTTAAAATAAGGCCAATTCACTTCAAGTAATGGCATCAAATATTACCAGCTGGTGTAGTGTAAACACTAGTGACGTCACTTGAGCGTCTGTAATTAACCGTCGATAGTTTCAAGAATTAATGCACTCATTTACTGAATATTCTTTGTAAAAAAATAAAATTTAAATCAATTATTTATAGGAGATAAATATTATTATGAGTAAATATACCGATACCGGTATGCATTACTGACCACCTCCACGGCTCCTCACTGGCAAATGGGGGGGGGGCGTGGGGAGGGGTGTGTGATGATAGCTGTGTTTATTATAGGGGTATAAATCTCTTTTACGGTATGTTAGACAGGTTTATAATACATTTTTATTATTTTAATATACCGGTAATCTTAATTTGAATCCAGCTTGCCAAACGTAAGTTTCAGTATAAAATAATTAGTGGTAAGACCTTGTGAGTGGCTTACGATGTTTTCATCACCACTCTTGACACACTAAACCACAATATTTAAGAGGTAAGAATTTTAAACTTGGTGGTTTAGACGACCCCCTAACTTTGGGCAGATTTTTTTAATGTTCAAATTTCGTCTTATAGGCCGTGATATACGGTAGTCATTTTCTGTTAAACTTATACAGCAAATATAATCATCAGTTTTCCGGCATTTTCGAAAATCCGGCACTCCTCAGGTCCCGAGGTTGCCGGATTTTTGATAGGCCACCTGTATATATATATGTCATTCATTTTGTATTTCACTGATGGGCGGAGGTGGTGGAGCAATTGTGTGATGGGTAGTGGAGCGGAGGAGGAGAGTGGCGAGTCACTGAGACCCGGCGAGTGGCTCCTCCTCCCGGCTTAAAAACCTCCGTTTTCGAAGCAAGGCTAATGGTTTTACGTTGCTTCTTCACAGCACTACCATTAGTAGCACTTGATGGGCACTTGGAAGCAATTTCGAATTGTTAGAGTACAGTATTAAGAGCAAAAACACTTAAACACGCACGCACGCTGTGGAAGCCCAACAATGACTGACGACGCTTGAGGACGTTGTGACTTTCTGCGAGTGAGAGGCAGCACACCAAGACGAGAGAGCGTAGCACGCCAAGACAAGAGAGGGTGATGCGCCATAAAAAGTAGTAAGTGACGACGCAAAAAACGAAGTTATATTGAGTCGTCGGGACATTAACCTAATTATTGGTATCTAAAGAGTAGCGACGTTATCGAGGGCAACGGTAAACGCGGATTTACTGTATTAACAGAAACAACAAATTAGTTATAATCGATCAAAAGATTTTCTCAGCACACATAAATGACAACAGTAGCACGCTTGTGTGCCGCGGCACTCGATTTGGGAATCACTGTTGTAGACAAAAGTGATGATGGGTAACACACAGACCTGTACTAGTATAACACTGAAGTAAGTTCCTCTCTTATCTTATAGAACCCCTGTTAAAAAAAGCAAAAGATGACGACCAGAAGAGTGAGTACTTCAAAACAAAAGGTGAAACACTAGGCCGAGTGAGACTAAAAGCTGCTGCAAAGTGGACTCCTCCGCGCTCACCCTTCAACCTGTTCCAAGAATCCCTCTATCATGATCCATGGAAACTCCTTGTTGGAACTATATTCCTCAATAGAACCACAGGTAAGATTTATATTCTGTACCATATATTATATACTGTACCTGTAGTTTAGGTGCAACTCTCTTAATACCAGTCTTCCTACAGTGTGTTAAGTGAGTATGTTCTTTACTGCCTGTGTGCAAGGTAATGTGTACTATACCGTACTGACAGTGTACAAGGTGATGTGAACTGTACTGTACTGTACCGACAGTGTGCAAGATGATGTGTACTGTACTGACAGTGTACAAGATGATGTATACTGTACTGTACTGACAGTGTGCAAGATGATGTGTACTGTACTGTACCTACAGTGTGCAAGATGATGTGTACTGTACTGTACTGACAGTGTGCAAGATGATGTGTACTGTACTGTACTGTACTGTACTAACAGTGTGCAAGATGATGTGTATTGTACTGTACTGTACTGACAGTGTGCAAGATGATGTGTATTGTACTGTACTGTACTGACAGTGTGCAAGATGATGTGTACTGTACTGTGCTGACAGTGTGCAAGATGATGTGTATTGTACTGTACTGGCTGTGTGCAAGATGATGTGTATACTATACTGTACACTGACAGTGTGCAAAATGATGTGTATTGTAAATGTACTGCTTACTATACTGACAGTGTGAATGATGTGTACTGTACTGTACTGTACTGTACTGTACTGACAGTGTGCAAGATGATGTGTATTGTACTGTACTGGCTGTGTGCAAGATGATGTGTACTGTACTGTACTGACAGTGTGCAAAATGATGTGTATTGTAATGTACTGTACTGTACTGACAGTGTGCAAGATGATGTGTACTGTACTGTACTGTACTGTACTGTACTGACAGTGTACAAGGTGATGTGTACTGTACTGACAGTGTGCAAGATGATGTGTACTGTACTGTACTGTACTGACAGTGTGCAAGATGATGTGTATTGTACTGTACTGTACTGACAGTGTACAAGATGATGTGTACTGTACTGACAGTGTGCAAGATGATGTGTACTGTACTGACAGTGTGCAAGATGATGTGTACTGTACTGTACTGACAGTGTGCAAGATGATGTGTACTGTACTGTACTGGCTGTGTGCAAGATGATGTGTACTGTACTGTACTGTACTGACAGTGTGCAAGATGATGTGTACTGTACTGTACTGTACAGACAGTGTGCAAGATGATGTGTACTGTACTGTACTGTACTGACAGTGTGCAAGATGATGTGTATTGTACTGTACTGTACTGACAGTGTGCAAGATGATGTGTACTGTACTGTACTGTACTGACAGTGTGCAAGATGATGTGTACTGTACTGTACTGTACTGACAGTGTGCAAGATGATGTGTATTGTACTGTACTGTACTGACAGTGTACAAGATGATGTGTACTGTGCTGACAGTGTGCAAGATGATGTGTACTGTACTGACAGTGTGCAAGATGATGTGTACTGTACTGTACTGACAGTGTACAAGGTGATGTGTACTGTACTGACAGTGTACAAGATGATGTGTACTGTACTGACAGTGTGCAAGATGATGTGTACTGTACTGACAGTGTACAAGATGATGTGTACTGTACTGACAGTGTGCAAGATGAT